TCGCCTTCGCCTACCTGGCCTGGCTCATCTACGCCATCGCCTTCACCCCCAAGGTGGTGCTCATCCTGGGCACGTCCATCCTGGACCTCATCGAGCTGCGCGCGCCCTTCGGCACCATGGGCTTCCGTCTCACCATGGCGCTGTCGGTGCCCCTGCTTTACAGCCTGGTGCGAGCCATCAGCGAGGCGGGCGCCCCCCCTGGCTCGGGGGGACCCCTGCTGCTGCAGCCGCAGCAGCACCGTGCCGCGGGCTGCTTCCTGGGCACGTGTCTGGACCTGCTGGACAGCTTCACCCTGGTGGAGCTGATGCTGGAGGGCCGCGTGCCTCTGCCGGCACACCTGCGCTACCTGCTCATCACCGTCTACTTCCTCACCCTCGCCTCGCCGGTGCTCTGGCTCTACGAGCTCAACGTGGCGGCCGTTACTTCGTCCTGGGGCCAGGCTTCCGGGCCTGGCAGCTGCAGCCGCCTCCTGCGCTTGCTGGGCGGCTGCTTGGTGGACGTGCCCTTGCTGGCGCTGCGCTGCCTCCTGGTGGTGAGCTATCAGCAGCCGCTCTCCATCTTCATGCTCAAGAACCTCTTCTTCCTGGGCTGCCGGGGCCTGGAAGCCCTGGAGGGCTGTTGGGACCAGGGGAGTCGGGCCTCCCCCAGTCGGGTCAGAGGCGGCTATGGGGTCCCACCCTCTGCACCACCGCCACCACCACCTCAGGGAGGCTCCCAGCTGGGCCACTGCATCTCGGAGAACGAGGGGGGTGCCCACGGCTATGTGAACACTCTGGCGGTGGCCTCCCAGAATTGAGAGGAACAGGGAGGGGCCTTCATGTAGAGTGGGGAGGCCCTGGCTCTCTTTCCTCTGACCCCTCGCCCAGATTTGACCTGGCTGTCTAGGAGAGGCAAAGAGGCAATTGTCCACAGGGCTGCGGGCCAGTGTGCCCTCCTGCGTTTCTTGGATCAAGACTGCGCGGAGGGAGACCAGCAGTGCAGGTGGGGGAGGAAGGCCCGCTTCCTCTAGTTTTTCTTCCCCTTGCTCTCACCTAAACTTAGCCTTCCGGGGGAGTGGTACCTCTGCTTTGGAATTTTTCCACCTCCACCCGGAATCCAGCCCACTGCAGGAAGAAAGGGGTGCGCGGGCAGGAGGTACCGGGCCTCGGGCCATTCCCTTTGCTTGGAAGTGCCAGCTTCTTTTAGGCCTTGAAACTGACCCAGAATCCACTGTTTCCCTCATGTGTCTGTTGGATTTCTTCCAGATGGTAGATGCAAAGTCTGTGTCTGTGCGTGTCTCTGTGTGTGTGTAGTGTGTGTGTGCGTAGTGCTGTTTTCTTGTGTCCACCAGATCTAGGGAGGCCCTGCCCTTCCCACCACACACACCACTACTTTCCTTGTGAATTTGTGGCCATGAATTCCCAGAGGAGCGAGGCTCCTGGGTGCTGCCCACTCCGTCTCCTCCAGGGGAGAAGCTCACCCAGGATCTTTCTCCTTCCTGCTCCTCTCTTCTCAGCTTGGGGGAGGAGAGGGTCCAGATTCTAAGGACCAAACTACACCCTTTCTCGGGTGAGTGAGCCTTTCTACCTCCGTGCATTCAGCTTTTGTTGCATCGTGCACAGATGCTGCTTGCAAAAAATAAAGACAAAATACTCAGAAGTTGACTCAGAGTGGCCACAATCCAGCTGGGGCTTGGGGCCACTGTTCACACAGGGTCTGTGGAGTATCAACCATTGGCCTGACCTCCCGCTGTCCCGCCTCTGCACCCAGAACTCTTATTCTTCCTGAGGTTTGCTGCCGGCTGGGTCAGATCTTGTCTCAGAATAATAGCTTTGGTGGGTTTCCTGGGAGCTGGGGCTCCCCCACCAGTCTAGGGTGCTTGATGCCCATCAACAAGGGTGTAGATGTCGCTCTGGTTAAGGGAAGCCCCAGGGAAGAGGCAGAGTGCCTGCAGAAGGCTTCGCACAACCTTCCTCCTGGTGTTTCCCTTGTGGAGATTTACGACCAGGGAGATCCACCGGGCACTGTCTGCTTTAGGCCGGGTGTAAGACATCACTCTTGGGATCTTTGAGGCGGGTAAGGTACACGACAATTGGGAGCAAGGCCAGGAATACTCACTTTCCTTCACTCCAAAATAAGATGGGGTGAGGGCAAAATTAAAAGAAGTTTTTTTCTCCCTTTTCTCATGCATTTTGTGTGGTCTAAGAAACCTCTGCTAAAGGACCCGACGTCAGGGGCTGTGGTTTAACTCAGTAACCAGCTTTGAGTGACACTTTTACCTTTGGGACCTCAGCTTTTCTCTTGGGCCCCTTCTTTCCACAATTTCTTGGAGCTGTTGACAGAGACACCAGAGGGGCTGATGCTTGACCTGAGCTCTCCTGAGCCCTCCCTGCCCTCAGGGTGGGGGACAATGGGGGAAATGTTTACACTCAATCACTCTGTGCTCCCAGCCCCTCACCCTATTAAGTCCCACATTAGCTAACTGACTTTCATAATTAATCGTTTTGTTTTTTTCCTTTTCTCCTTTCCCCACGGATTCTTCTGCTCTCCCTTTGAATCCATGTGCTTGACGTTCTGGGGTGCAGACCCTGGGTGGGGGGGACCATTTGCTCTCCCCTCTGCTCCTGTGTCCTCTCGCCAGCTTTGCTCTGTTTCTCTGCTACCTAATCTCAGTGACTAGGAAAGGACTTTGGTCTGAGCCATGGCCAGCTCCTGGCTGGCCCCTAGCCCCCGCCCTGCCCCGCCATGGATGGCAGTCTCCCTGCTCCCCGGCTGAACTCTCCGCTGCTGTTGGTTTTTTTTGGGGGGAGGCTGTGGGGTGTCCCAGGGAGCTGTCACATCCCTAGCTACATTGACTGATGGCAGCCTGGCAATTCTGCAGATGCCAGGCCTGCCCAGCCCAGTCTGCCAGCCCCCACTCAGCCCAGACAGCCGCTTTCAAATATTTGGTGCAAACTCTTTGTGTTCAGGGCATCAGTCCCTTCTTTCTGGTGTGTTTTTCTTGGGTCCCTTTTCTTACTTCCCTTGCCCCTTTCACAGAAAGCAGTGACCCCTGACACTTTCTGGCTTTCTAGGGTGCCTGAAGTGTGGGGTCAGAGTAGAGGTGTCCCCACGGGTCTCATAATCAGGTGCAGCTCTGTTTGTGCAGCTGATTCCAACAGTTTAGTTCACAGAAAAGGGCCGGGGCTTCAGAACCCAAGCCAGCTGCCCCTCGTAGCTCACCTTGATCTTAACTCTGACTCCTCATTTGTTTAAAAGGGGCACGGGTGGGCCCCCTCTTAAAGACCCTCTGAGCTGGCCCTGCCTGGTGCTGAGCCTGTGTGTTTTGGGGAAAGAGCGAGCTGGCAGCGAGAGCCTGGAAGAAGCCAAGTGGCACCTCAGTAGCATTTATCACGTTTTTTTCCCCTCCTTCTCTTTTTAAAAATAAAACCAGACTCTGTTCTGAAAATAAAAAACTTGAGACTTGTGACAAGCTTCCTGTGTGGTTTGTTCAGATCTTTCCTGTCCTGGTTTCCTTACTAAATTCTTAAATGTCATTGTGACATTTGCCATCATTTTGCAGGTTTGCGGGAACATTCCAGGCCAGGTCCACCTTGGCTTTCCCTGCTAGGGAGGGGCATGCTCTCCAGGGAGCCAGGGTGGCCTTGGCGTCCAGCAGGCTCTGCTCATGCAGAACCAACCCCAGTGTGCGCTCAGCCGGTGATGGTTCCCCAGCTCCTGGGACTTTCCCCTTTCTTTCTGAATAAAGTTACTCAAGGGAGGAAAGACAGATAAACTTTTAATACTCTGTCCTTCCTTTTACTTACTCTCGTCTCAGACACTTGAATTCTTATATATTTTGTTAGCTTTTAATAAATTTTTAGAAAGATTTATTTATTTATGCATACAGAACTGGGGTATAAGCCAGAGGTGCAGGGCACGAGAGGCTTCACCAGAGACAGAGTGGGGAGCAGAACAGGCAGACTGAGGAAGTACACTGCTGAGGGGAGCAGCGGGCGGGTCAGGAAAGGTCTGCCGCACCTTGTGGGTCACCTTTGGGGCGGGGATCGAATTCATACTGAAGTGGCTTTAGCTTCTTAGTGCTGTGCTTTAACCCCACTGCACCAACAGGGAGGGCCCATATTTTGTTAGTTTTTAAGATAGAATATTAGGGCCACACAAAAACAAAGTTAGAGTTTTTGTTTTTAGCACAGAGATATGCAGTAGCAGTCGAATTGCTGTGCTGTTGCCCTATAATGTGTCTAGCCATTAAGAAGACTACACACCATGTGCCCTGGCAATTCCACTCCTAGGAACCTACCAACAGGCACAAAAACATTATTCATAAGGAAACCTGCCCTCCTCTGTTTATTGCAGCACTACTTAAGATAGCCCAGTTATGGAAACAACCTAAATGCCCCCAAGAAGATGTGGTACATATACACAATGGAATATTACTCGGTGATGAAAAAGACAAACCCATGCCCTTTAGAACATCAGGGATGGAGCTGGAAGGGATTATGTTCAGTGAAATAAGTCAGAAGGAAAATATTGAATGGTTTCACTTCGGGGAACTGAAAAAGGGTCAGAAAAAAAGACAGAACTAGCAGGCAAATTATAGATACGTGACATACAGCAGAGCAGGGGTCACGGGAGAGAAGAGCAAAGGGAATATCACAGGGTTTTTATTTATGGGGATTCAATATTTGAGAAATCAAATTGTACAAAATAAACTAATATTGTTTACAATGATGTAAGGGAAATAAATGATGTAAGGGAAATAAATGATGTAAGGGAAAAAAAAAGATTACACAACAGTTTTAGAGAATCAGAGAGAAAAGTTAAAGCATAGGAAAAGCTGGGTGCTGGGCCCAGTTTGGGCCCTTGCCTGACCTCGGGAAATGTTTTCATCACTTGTAAACCAGGAGCAATATTCTGTACCTCACCATGCTATGGAAGGAATGAAATGAGATGACATCTGCAGATATGGCCCTTGTCCTCCAGACATTTAAAGTCATACAGGACCAATTTACACATCAAATAATTAAACAAGTCAGCCCATGTCTTCATTGCTTCCTCAATCCAGAGGGAAACTAAGATGATTCATTTGAATACACACGTTGTAAATATTTATATGTGTCTCCCAGCTAAACGAGGTCGCTTTCGCCCATGTGGGTTAGGTGCACAAAAGTGCATTGTCCACTGTGAAGAAGGGGTGTGGGGGTGAGCAACGCACCAGGGCCACCAAGGGCCACATGTGGCTTGTCTGGGGCTGCAGCTGAACCCACAGATCTGGCCCCAGGGAAGAGCATGGAATTACCCTGATGGATTGTGTGAGGCCCTTGGTGCACATTAACTCTTTTCCTTACAGCCACCTCCCAGACAGCAGAGACCACAGGATGGAATCGTTGAGTGCTCACGCACTAGTCAGAACGGAACTCAGATTTGAACCCAGGTCACCTGCCTCCAAAATCGCCACAACCCCAGGCAGCCTTCACACTTGAGCAGGCAGCTGGGTTTCACTTATCCAC